AAACATACACATGCAGAGGACTTCTGGTCTAAGATTCCAAAAGAGACAAGTTAAAGCTTGCACTTCAAAACTTACAAAGCCTCATTCAATTAGAGCAATTATCTAGAAGTTAGTATACAGGCAAACTTGGCAACACAACATTAATCTAAGGAGAAATCTTAAGTCTCATTATTCTATAGTCCTTCCTACCGGCCATAAGATATGAGCAACTACAACTGTCAAAACGGGTACAGATAAAACAGACTGCAAGAGGTTCTGTGCAAAAAGCACATGTGCCTTATTTAGCTTTTGAATGTGTTCTTATCATTGGTGATTAAACCAGCAAAAGGTAAGCAAGTTCGTGTTAGTTCTACTTTAAGTTCATCTGTCCCCAGTCAACATCACAGCAATCACGCTAATACTCCAGCAAACAATACTGAGTTAAGTCACATGAGCTAGGGGTTCTTTGCACAGAAGGACTTCTGTTTGAGAAGGATCTCAACATTCACATTCCAACACAACTTGAATTCAGACTTATAATCCACCATTCACATCTACCAACGTGCCAGCCAACAGAATCCTCTTCCTACCCCTCTCCAAGAAAGTTAACGTCATACTTAGTGTACTACATGAACTCTAAAGACCTAAATTTATCATTTTTGCCATATATTTTCTTCAAATCCTTGGATAAATTAATCCCTCAATGCATTAGGTCCCGTAGTTGCAAGACAGGGATCACACTGACCAAATCCCAAGTCACAAGGATAAATTATTCAAACTTAAAAAAAAAAAAACAACCAAAAAAGAAAGACACCAGAAAGTATACCAACACACGTTACTGGCAATTGGTAAGTAGTTTATGGCAGGAGAGGATCCACATTGAAGAACTGAAAGTATCAACTTTCATTTGTTTATTTCTACAATACAAAAACTCACACCTCCACCAAATGTCAACAAGTAATTATGTAAAAACTCACCTGCCCAATGACTTTGAGTTTAATGTATTCCCCTTCTTTCTTATCTCCTAAGTCCTCAGCTGAAGGTTTTGCTTCCTGCAAGAAAAACATGACAAAAGTCTGATCAGTTCAACACTTTGTTATTTTCACCGGACAGTATGACAGCTGTCATCCTCCTTATTACATGAAATCAGACTATTCAAGGCACCTTATTTCTTCTTTTCTAGGTGTGAAAATAATGGCAAACACAGTATTATGAAAGGCTGTCTGCCTGCCTGTGAAAAGTTTAATTAATGACAGAAAAGAAACACTGTGAAGAACATAAAAGATGAGAAGGTTCATTTGGAAATAGACAACAGATGCAGAAATTAGAAGTATGGTTTTATACCACTAACTCCTAGTCAAGAAACTGACTGCAAAAAAGAAATAAAGGAAGTGCACTAAGAGGCTCAAATATTTGACATAAAAAAGAACATCATGAGGCAGTAAACAGAAAGCACTTGTGACACCCTATTGGGGTAAGGACAGTGAACCATGCAAACATTTTTCAGCCTATTGCATCAATAGTAGTCACTACTTTCCAAAGGGTGGTCAGCCACCTTCTTTTCTAAAAACAACATCAAGTAACAGCTTCCTTCTAGCATGTTTGTTTTAAGACCACAATTCTTAAAAGTTCTTAAAATTTTCAGTTCTAAGAACTACAGTGTTTTGATAGCTTTCCAGGATAAAAATTAATTGAACAGACAAGTTTGATTCAACAACTTGAACAATAAAACTCATCAAAAGGGTTTAAGTGTTATGTTCTGTAAGACACGAATTAAGGACATCAAAGTTTTCATGTTAGCTGCTGATAGACAAGACAAGTGAGAGATCAGGTACTATTAACCCCATCCCTTGCCTGTCACTACGTATTCTGTATCAGGCCTTTAGTTATGTTCCACTGCAGCAAAGAGATTTTACACAGACATTGCCTCAGGTTCCAACAGTGCTCAGTGAAGAAACCTTCCCAAGTAGTGAGAAATAAGGATACCCTGCTGATCAGGTTTCAAATCTTCTTTTTATATTTTATTGCTTAACACAGTAGACAAAATAAGCAAAATATCTACAGGTGCATGCCACATATGTTTTCCTAGCCCTAAAGGGACTTTTTGCTGAGTATATAGAAATATCCTTTGTACAGCTGGATGTGAACTTTAGGATCAAGCGCCAGAAACACATACTAACCTTTCGTATTAAGTCCATCCAGACAGGTCTCTGTCTCCAGATTACAATGGCAGACAAGCCTTTTCAAGCATTTTTTTTTTTTCTTAAAGAGGTTAAACACGCACAATTTCTTTGAATGTTAGAGTTTCAGGGAAGGGCAGGGGGGAACATCTGCAAACACCTTCTCTATCTGTACCAGTCTCAGTGTGGAGGAAAGAGAGAGGAAGTTCTCTTTGTATCAATTTGACTCACTGCATCAAGCCAGATCCATTCAGTTTCTGGGATGACCAAAAAAGTATGAGCCAGAAACTCCACCTGGTTTGAATACTTTTTTTTTTAATTACCCACCTGGGCACAACCTGGACTGCTGGGACTGATTCACCACCCTTCAAGCTCAAACCCAAAAACTTACCCCAAGCTTTCAAGAAACTAGACGCTTACCCTCATGTCACACTTTTGAAGTGTGAAAGGAATCTTTACTGGTAACACAGTCACAGCAACTGTGCTGGCCACCAAAGGTTTCCCTTTCTAACATAGCTGAACTCTAACCTCATGGGACTATTTGCAGGAATAAAAATACACCAGTTTCCACTCCTGACTGAAGAGAAAGAAGAACAAGAACCTGCAACTTGTCCTGATAAAAATGCAGTTTGTGCAAGTTATTGTCTGTATGCAGGATTACTAACCTCTAGGAATCAGAAAGAGATTCTTATATCTACAAATCTGAAATCCGTAACTTCAAAACAATCTCCTGTTTTGCTATCAATGAAAGAATTTGTAAGAACATCATGTCCCTTTACATGACATTTCAGGTCAGTCACTGTCTTCATTTACTTTGCATAAGAACCAAATTGCATGGCAGCATATTATCCCAACACTCCAGGCATTTGTCGTAGTTTATACAGTTCTGTGCATTGTGACAGATCTACCTACTTAGCTTTCCAAAACAAATCATCTTATACAAGGTATGACAAATCATCATTGCTACTATGACAGCGCCTCTGGCCAATATGAGTGGAAAGCAATGATTCATAAGATGTTTGATTCCTACCCTCAGGGAAAAAAATAAAAGTGAGTTGGGAAAGCAGCAAACAATAGAAAACAGAGGGAATTGGAGTCTTGAAACATCGTACCATAAAGATGCTATGTTTAAAGCCCCAGCAACCTCTCACCCCCCAAATAAGAGCAAACAGAGCTGCAATTTCAGGAAAAGACAAATAAGATCGAGTCAATGTTGACAACACCAATAACTGAAGCTTAAAAAAAAGAGCAAAATATTTTAAATCTGAACACAACAAGACCCAGCAAGTCTGAAACAGCTCCCTGCATTTTGTCAGTGAACTACAGTGCCATTCAATGCCAAATGGTAAAGCTACACAAAACCACTTAAGAACAAAGAAAGCAAGGAGACTGCAAAGTTACTAAACTACAAGCATTCACTAACAAAATCCTGCATCAGCAATCTGCAAGCAAGCCTCCAGACTTTTACTTGCACTATGGAAAGAACTGGTGTTCAGGGCATCTCATGAAACACTACATAAAAAAAGACTACCCTACAAACAGAACAGGAATACCACAACACTCCAAGTTCTAACTTTTCATTAAATGCCTAAAGTTTTAAAGGCTTCATTCCACAGTTTTCCCAAATAGCACAAAATGACATTCCTGGTACTGTCTCACATTTATATATCAACACTAAATTCATGACCTTAAAAAGCACCCAAAGTTTCGCGGATGAAACACACTGGTATTGCAACTAATGAAACCACAAAACAAACATTGTAATGAAGTACATTGCAAGTTTCCTCCTCCGATTTTCTGTAGTGCTCAAACTTCAATGACCAAGCCCCAAACCCCCCTATATTATCTAAAGTGTGCTGAATATTAAAAAACAATCAACCAAAACAAAATTACTAGAGGAATTGGACTACAACACACTTCCTAACACAGTTAAAAAAATGTAAGAGTTTATAGAAGTGGAAAAATGCATACAAACTATAGCATTCTTTATTAATAGTACATGAACAAATAAAATGCCAGCATCTAGATGCAATTAAAGCAAAAACAGCCTGAGACCCTTGAAGGGAGGGGAAAAACAATTCTTTTTGTTTCTGCTTAGATCCCACCAAGCAGCCATGGGTTTGTGTGGTTTTGGGTTTGTTTGTTTGTTTGTTTGTTTGTTTGTTTTAAGTCTGCCCCTGTTGCAAGTATTTTCATTCATCATAAAAGTTAATATCCTACTGGAAATAAAGTAACTAAATCAAGTATGCTTCTTTATTTACACTGAAAAGACAAGTCAAAATTATCATAACTAGTGACAAATTGTGTCCTCTTAACTAAATTTCAGGGCCAAAAAGAAAGACACTCTAACCAATTCAGAGTTCTGGGTGGTCCAATTATTCCTGCAGGATTGATAAAACAGAGGAATGAGATTTACAGTGCTGCATTACCACACATTATACTGTTACTTAAGTACCTGTTTAGCTCTTGTTGCTCAGTCCCCCCGAAAGTGAATGACAACATATAACAATGTTTAGCTTATCTATTAAAAAAAATAAATACCAGGGTCCTTATTCAAAATCCTTTAAGATAGCTATCCAAAAAAGGTTATCACATACAATGAATTTTACATGCTTCAAGCAGTCCCAAAGAACATGTATGCATTTTAGCAGAACTTGCCTGGAGAAGGAATTACCTAATGAAAGCTTCTATGTGTTAAAACATGCCTTCGTTTACAAATGCAGAGAGCTACAGAGCAGGTCACGTGAAGATCGGTCTACAAAACCTAGTTCAGAATTTGCCCCCCCCCCCCTTTTTTTTTTTTAATGCAGCCACTTTTACGTATTTTATTACACTGGAAACATGTCCCAGTGGGTGCCAGCGATAGCTGTGCTCCTAGCTGCACTCTCACAGGCAGAGATCGGCAGCAGCACCATGCGCACCAGCAGAGTTGCATTGTGTTTGAAAGTCGGGGGCGGGGAGGAAGACCACCAGCGCATACAGCAACGGTTTCTATTCACGGGTCATAATGTATCAAAGCTAGTCCTCAAAGGAGACGCAGTAGATACTAAGCTTAGCCTTGTCTCTGGATAGTTTTAATTTCCTGGCTGGCACTAGTGCTATTCTTGACTTCACAGCACTGCAAGAAACATTTGTAGATACTGACATTGATTTTTCCAAACTCGAATCGTCATGACAAAGTTAGAAAACACTGCCATATGAAGGCAATATAAAAAATAAAGCAAAAAAGAACACAAATTAAAACCGGAATGCTGTTTTAACTTTCCACCAGCAGGTCACATAGCCTAAAGCAATACTTGTAAGCAAAGGACTGTGTACATGCCGCCGAGCAAGCCAGGAACTTGCGGTACAAGTAACTATTTAAGTCCCCGGTTGAGAAGTCAGAATTGACAGGAACATAACGAAGCACAACGAGCTAAGACAGGACAGAGCCTCGATGAAGGACGGGGTGTTTAATAGAGGCAAGCAACAGTCAGCTAAGAGTGTGGGTTGTTTCCCCCCCCACACACACTTTTGCATTCCTAGGGCAAACAGAGAACCTGGCAGGTCTACCCTAACCCGCACAAAGCCTGCTCCGGGGGAAGAGCATCCTACCTCACGCCTGGGAAATGGAAAATGAAAGGAAACAACTGTTGTGCAACACGGCTCACCCTCGCTGCACTCCCGGGTTTCCAGGGCCGGGGCTGCCCCAGCGGCGATCCCGGCCCGGGGACCCGCCCCCGCTCCGGCCGGACACCAGCCCCGGCCCCCGGGGACTGCCCACACTAAAATTGCTAGGGCTCTAAGCACTGTAATCTCTTACTTCTTTATGAGGTTTGTGCTTGTTTTGCTTATATGTCACCAAGTGGGTCATGACTCAAATTTAGCCAGCGCTGTTATTAATGCTGAAGCAAGTCTTCAGCGGGCTATTTTTAGCAATCAGGGCTGTTGTTGAGAGCTTGCGATTGCTAAAAATGCCTTGGAATGATTTCACAAGCGATACTGTCTGTGGTGGAATTTGCGCACCAGCTGTCTGTCTTCAGGCCAGTTGATTGTGTTGACACGTATTCCCTGTGATTTGTCATCTCTGACTCCCGCTCTGCGATGGCTGTGACAGGCGTGCTATCAGTGTCTGATGGGAGAGAGTGAATGAGGGGGTAAGTGACAGCAGCAGCCTCATTACTGACAGCTTGGGAAACACTGAGATCGCAGAGAGGACTTTGGCCTTCACCGATATTTGATTTTTCCTTTATCACCCCATCTGATGAAACGCACCTCATTGCTGCCATCTTCCCTGGGAAGCATCCGTTCCATGGCTGAGGCCTTTTCTTGGATCCCCTCAGCAGGATTCAAAACATTTTGCTGACTTAAAGTGCATTCCTCTAGGCAGAACAGTTGCTGAGCTTTATTTGCTGCAGAAAGGCACCTAATGGCCTGCCCCAAAGAGAAAAAAACGACAGGTATTTTTATAAACTCTGCTAGTTACAGGCAGTCTAATGACTGAAAGTATGGATCTGCACCGGTGTTTTGTCCCAGCCCAGAAGAGGTAGGCCAAGTCACATAACCCTTCCAATAAAAGCTGCAAAAGTCACTCTCATTACACCTGCTTGTAATGATGTGTTAAAGTTTTCACTAAAAGATATATTTAACAACAAAACTCAGTTCTCTATTTATGCACAGTTTGCATTTTTTGTAATCCTAGCAACCATGCTAGTAATAGACATGGACCTGTCTATTACTAACTAACAGGTTATAACTAACAGGTCCAGAGGAGGGCCACAAAGATGATCAGAAGGATGGAGCACCTCTCCTATGAGGACAGGCTGAGAGAGTTGGGGTTGCTCAGCCTGGAGAAGAGAAGGCTCCAGGGAGACCTTATAGCAGCCTTCCAGTACCTAAAGGGGGTCTACAGGATAGGTGGGGAAGGACTTTTTACTAGGGCATGTAGCGATAGGATGAGGGAAATGGCTTTACACTGGAAGAGGATAGGTTTAGATTAGATATTAGGAAGAAATTTTTCACTGTGAGGGTGGTGAGACACTGGAACAGGTTGCCCATAGAAGTTGTGGAAGCTCCATCCCTGGAGGTGTTCAAAGCCAGGTGGGATGGGGCTTTGAGCAACCTGGTCTAGTGTGAGGTGTCTGTGCCCATGACAAGGGGTTTGGAACTAGATGATCTTCAAGATCCTTCCAACCTACACTATTCTATGATTTTAACAGGATCCCCATTTATTAAGCAAATTTGCACTGAGGCAGTTGCATTTGCACAAGCTTCTAGTGGTACACCGTGCTAACACAGAACAGATATCCTGCTTTGCATTAGCACAGCATAGGTATTTAGAGGTTTGCACAAGGAGCAACACCTACACCCCAAAACATTTACATTTAGACTGCAAGCTGTTTGGGCCACAGCAGGTAATACTAACATCCCTCTACAACAACTAAGGCAACTCCTGCATGGCATCACTGCTGGTGTGAGTGCACACTTGGTTCTAAGTGGCCAGTAAGTAGAAAAAACACATGTGAGAACCATAAAATAACAGTATTACTGTAAAATAAATCGATCAACAGAAGTCAGCCACACTGAAACAGGAGTTTCTTATCTGGATACTACTAGATTGTTTTTTAACTGTACCAGCTACCTTTGGGGAAGGGTAAGAAATCTCTCCAGGCAGGGCACATCCATCAACACAAAGTCTCCAACACTCTGTGTGCCATGTTCCCTTGTAATAACACCAAAGCAGCTGCACTGTGCCTGCACTGCTGCATTTCACTAACTGAATAGCATGTTAGAAACATACCCACACTAAGGGATGCACTTTCACTAGTTGGTGAAACAATGCAGTACCTAAACTCATGGGAATTAGTTTTAATAACCGTTAATTCAGAATTAACAAGGGAGAAAAAAAAAAAAAGAGAACCAAAACACATGCTATACAGAGCTACAGAATTAAGATGATCTTTCTTAGGCAAGGCCTAGTAGGCAGGAAAGCCAAATATGTTCCTACTATGCCAAGCTCACAGTAAGAGCTCATTATGAGCTTAATAACACAACACAAAGCACCAAAAGAAGCCATTCAAGGGCCTCACAGCAGCACATGATACTAACAGAATAGAAAATGACAAATACTTATTTACTTTGTCCTAAACATCACTGCTATTCACAAAAGAAAGTAGCTTTAAGAGCAGGGAGGACAGCCTTATAGCGATAAGGCTAAAGGCTCAGACTATAGCATGAAATTTGAGTGTAAATCTTCATTTTACCAATTTTTCCTATGCAATTTTGTAATAAAAGCTGACGCTCACACAAGTCAGAATGTAGTTACATATCCCTATACATAGCAATAAAGGTATAACATTGAAATGTGCACATCTGCATACAGATTAAGGAACAGTAACACCACCTCTCTTTATTCACTTCTTACTCAATTGGTTGTGGACACATTACCTCTTTGGGATACAAGCTACATTTGTACAATGTTGGCAAAGCCAGTTTCCGTTCAGCCCATGAAAATTATGGAAGTACAGCAGCAAAATTCAGCTTTTCTTCTTTAACAGCCCAAACTCAACACACAGCATACTTAAAACACAACAAAAACAATACTGTTCTAAAAATACTAAATATACCTACACAAGCTTCTTCCCACAAAACCCAAAGTCATCCTTGCTGCTGCAGCCACCAGCAAGGCTACTTGCCCTAATAACCTCACTTACTTCTCAGGTGTTTTATAACTTCTCTAATCTCCGCTATCTGCAACTAATCTCAATCACCTGAGTCAATAAACTTCACCTCTGTTCCTTCAAATTGCTGCGAACTTCTCCAAAGCTGTGTATATGGTTTAGGGGCCAAGAGCTGTTAGTGGTTTTCTCAAAACTACTAGTCTATGTAGCCTGTGCAAAGCCTCTTCAGTCTGTCAAAATAACTTTTTTTATAAAACTGGACTTTAACCTGAAAACAATCTGTAATCTCATGATGCCAACATACGCACTTGAGAGTGCTTAGTGCTGGCAAATGGGATGAATAGAGTGTTTTAAGTCAGGCAGCTAAGCAACATTTACTTTTAAATTTGCTCGTCACTCCCCCTGATCCAGCAGCACCAGAAACAGTACTTTTAAACTAGGGGGAACCTGGAAATTCTCTTTCTGGTTGAACATAATTTCGTTGGCAATATTACCAGTTGTGGGACTTCAAACAAAACCAAAAATGGTTACATTATCTAAAGCACTTCAGTCTTTCCTTTAAAAAGAAAAAAATCTTGAATGATGTGAACCCCCAGATTTCTCTGACTATTGGCTTTCCAGTGTATACCTTACACGAGAAGCAGGAGAGGAAATGAAGGCGTGCTGACTCATACTGATGGTTGCATAAAATGCAGCAATGAATGTCTGATATTAATCAAGCCCAAGTGTTGCTTGGAGCTTCCCATCCTGCAGGCAGGAAAAACTCTGCCTCTGTTTTCCGTGAAGGTAAGCCTCAATGTGAAATAAGTGGGAATTTATAAAGGCAAGGACTGGTGCTTTTTGCCTGTACTCTACCAGCACGCAGCTTTTCAATTATTCAGTAGGGCCCAGACACAGGCACAGAAGTAGGTCAGCCACAGCAGTGTGCACAAAGACGCTCTTTGCCAAGCCAGAAACCAGTAGGTGGCACAAATGGACAGCTTTAGCCGCCTCCGGCCTCTGCCTTCCCCCAAACAGAAATGCCCATATCCTGGGGACACTGCAGCAGTGTGCGAAAAATAAGCAGCCTTTAAAATTTGTGTTTTAAATGCATGTAATTTGGCACTTGTCTGTTGGAGAAGGAAACCTTTTAAATGCACACAACTGTACTTAGTCGCAACGAATCCTTTACAAAAAAAGAATTCTATCTGTATGAAGGTCTGCAGGCAAGGCCTTGGGAACAGGCCTGAGGTGCGAGAGCAGAGCGGGTGGAACAGGATCCACTCCGGTGTGTGGAGAGAGCTGGGAGCGCAGGCTGAACCTAGGGCACTGCAGGCGGGCTGGATGCAGCACCCCAACACAGCCTGGGGTCACCAAGGAGGCTGCCAGCTCAAACCTGCTTTAGGATTCATTCAGGAAACAAAAACTACCTATACGGGCACCGGAGCCCTCGAGCACAGGCCCGTTTCTCGTCACAGTGTCTGTCCCCACTGCCAGCTGCCGCACCTGCAGGGCCCAAGAGGTGCCAGGCCGCGGCCTACTGCTCCCGAGGAAGCAGGACTCGGGTGAACGGCTGCTGTGGGTGCAGGCCAGGCTGGCACAGAGGTTCCCCCCCGCCATCCACACACCAAGCAGCCGCTTGAACGCTTACAGGGAGGGGGTTTTGTACTTCAAGACGCTCGAACCT